ACAGGCCATAGTGGCACACAGTTTTGATTCCAGCACTAGAGACACAGAGGAAAGCAGATCTCTGTGAGATCAAGGTCAACCTGGTCTACATAGTGAGTTCCAGGCCAGCTGGGACTATAGGGTGAACCTAGCTCAAAAATAAATAAATGAACAAAGAAATAAATAAGAAAGTAATTTTTTTTTTTAAAGAAGCAATAAACAAAACTGAATGCTGTGTTCCAAAGTAAGGTAGAGCAGAGGCAGTGCCACAGAGGACACTCAGGTACTTTCAGTTTTAAATAACACCTTAGGGAGAAGTCAACCATGAAAAGAGGAAGCTGGGCAAGGAAGCGTGTAGCTGAGAAAACACAATAGAAAAGGAGCAAAGTTCAAGGCTCTTGGGGGTGGGGGTTCAGTGCAGAGTTAAAGCTGGCCAGCTGGGGGACTGAGGAGGCTGAGACTGAGTTGTCACAACCAGCAAGCTGGCAAAGGTGGTAAAGGTAGGTCAAAATAAAAAGGGTTCAGAGACAGCTTCCGGTCCAGGCAGGAGGAGTTCGCGATCGAATGAAGGTTGAAGGCAAGGAGGTGAGAAGTCAGGCAGAGCTTACTGATAGATATGCAGCATGTGGAAAAGTAAGGATTCATTATTTCAAGTACTATCGACTAGGAACTGAAAGAGTGGAGCCGACAACCAAACTTATTTTAGACTGATGTTACTAAACAGTCTCTTTATTTTGAAAATTTAGTTTGATGTTTTGTAGTTAAGCACATTTAATGAAGTCATTCGTGTAAGACGGAAAGGATGCATTCTCCAGCATCTTTCCCCTTGGGGTTCAGAAACCCGTAGTTTATTTGACAAACATTTTTGTACTTATGATAGGCTAAGCTCTGTCCTAAATGTTATGTGGTAGAAATATCATTAACCTTTCATTACACAACAGGGAACAAAAGCACAGACAGTAAATAGCACGTGAGAGGTTCTACATCAAGTCTGTTTCTAAACCATGAGCTAGTTCCAGTCCCAAGAACGGACTGAGGACTGGGTTCAAAATGAACAGGAAGGAATTTCCAGGAGTAATGAGCATAGTCTATTGCTTGATTTGGGTGGCATTTGTGTGACTTTAAAGGCTTAAGTCAGAACTATATATTTAAAGGAGTAAGTTCACTACACATCTCATATATCATATCTATATTTATCTTATGCAATAGATAAATTCAATAAGCCAATTTGAAATGACAGTCTATATAGGAAATAGAAATTGACAGGCTGGAACTAAACATATACAATTTGTCTGCAGGAAGATTGACTTTCTCATAATATATAAACTGTCCTTTCCTTGGTATGTTTATTTCTGACTAAAGCATGCCTTTTGACGTCATGATCCTATATTATTTACAGATGAAATAACATGTTGTGGTTTGTTGTCACAAAATCTCATGATTTTTAAGACGGATTTCAGTCGTTTTTACCTCACTGAGAACACACAGGATTTTTTGAATGACTTCATTGATTCCCTTTGGGAAACCTCAAATAATACTCCTAATGACTTACCATAAAATTTAATGAAGCTTTGTACGTTTTTACATAAAGTATGATTATAACACCGCTGAAGGTATCAGAGTGTTTTTACATTTCTGTTCCCAATGTAATATTATTACAAGTCTTACTCTTCACATTGCTGTGCTCTATCATTTAATTGTACCTCAAAAGAAAATAATTCTAAGGACAATTTGAATCACATGCGATATAGTAGATAAAACCATATTTTAAAGCTTTACTTTTAATAAATACATAAATCTGAGTAAAGTGTCAAATTTTATATAACAAGCCTGAAGAATCCCCTATAATACAAGTGGGAAAAATGTTAGCTGTCAGTTTTTTTTATTACTGATCAAGGTATGTATTAATAAAATAATTTTCATTTTACAGTTTGTGTTTAAGAATACATAGAATCAATTGTCTAACCATAATGACTTCTTAGAATCAACGACCACCATCAAAATTCCAGTGAGATGCCATGGACACTCACTAGGACTACTGTAATCAAACTGGTTTTGGTAATGACATGGACATACTGGTACCCTTGTTTTTTTCTGCTGAGAATATAAAATGTTGTAGCTATTGGAAAACACTTTCAATGTTTCTCAAAAGGCTAAGTGCAAACCTTTCATATGAGCCAGCAATTCTACTCTTGGGTATATATCCAAGAAAAAAATGAATATCTATGTTTTCATGAATGCTTGCACTCAAATGTCCAAAACTTCTTTTAGTATGATAGCCTTAAAAAGTATTTAAAACCCTTCAAATGTACATTGACTGAAAAAGAGAAAAGTAATGTGTGGTATATCTAAAGATCCATATGGTAGAATATTAGTCAGAAAATGATGAAGTCGTGTCTTTAATAAAAAGAAAACTTGAACATATTCTGCTAAGTTATCAAGCAGATTCTAGAGGTGATCCATTTTATAATTCCATGCTACGTCAAATGCATAGCAACAGAATATGCTGATGTTTGTCAAGGAAGGGAGGAAGGAATGGGAAGTAATTGCTGGAAACAAGTTTTCTTTAGTGTGATAAAAATGTTCTATGATTTTATAATAGCAATAGTTTGACAACCTATCAATACACTAAAAATAACTTTAAATGGGCTAATTTGCTGGATAAGAATTATATCTCAATAAAAACAAAGATCATCAACCATTCACGATGGTAAATTTCCTCTGATGCTTCCAGAAACTTCTTATATTCAGTTGGTGACAGTCATTCATTACAATTTATATTGCTTTTTAAGTTTCTGTCTTATATTTCTTTTCAAAATTATTTGTGTATATTTGTATGTTAGTGAACGTTTGTGCATGTGAGTGCAGTGCTCACAGAGTCCAGAAGAGGGCATCAGATCCCCTGGAGCTGGAGCTACAGGTGGCTGTGAGCTGCCTAATATGACCAATGGAAACTGAAAATCAGGAGTCTACTAGAGAGTATTTTTATCTGCTCAGCAGTCTCTGTAGCCCCTTTACATTTCTTAATAAGAGGAAAGACTATGAAATGTTATTTCCACAAGCCCACAGATATCTTTGACATTCTGGATATTATCTAGGCTACAAAGTCTTAAGCTTTGTTATGGCAAACATCTTATTTCTTGGGCTGTTCCAAACCTTCTTTACCTTAACAAGTCTAGTATTCTTTTACTATATCTGTGATCTCTTTACCATATTGGAAATAGCAATCTTTCAATGGTCAACTTCTGCTCATTCCCAAAGAGTTGAACTGTCAGGAATGCTGGGCCTCACTCTCATAGTCTCTATGATAGTTTCAAGAATCTCCAAGGTCAGTAAACTACTTATTCATTTTTTGCTCAGCAATTTGTCAATGACTCATTTAAACTGTGCATCAAGACTGGCCTCTAAATTCCCCAAAGTAAGTGCATCTAAATCTCATTTGGTTGAATCTTTTAAGAGGAAATCAGCAAACGGGACCATTTATTGCTAATTTAATGAATTTCAAACTACCAAAAAACCATTTCATTTTCAACCCAGTAGAAAAATGGCTGCAAAGTTTACATGTTAATATAATAAGGTAAGCAATACTACTGAGAGATTCAAACATAACTACTCTCCAATATGGGAACAATAGTGTTTTCACATGTAAATGATTTGGAGAAAGGAAAAAAAAATGGGACAAAGAAATTAAGGCCAAAAAATTTAAAACAATAATTATCAGTAAAAACTGAAATCTTAATCTTAAGTTATGTGGAGAATCTTGGAAAACTCATTAATGCTAATTTACAATACATAACAGTTATTTCAATAACTCAAAATTAAATACAGAAAAATAGTTTTATGGGACGAAAACCAAAAAGTAAATAGCCCTATTTTTGACTGCATCTTTATAATAATAATTTACATTTGAATCTGTTTAAAGTTACTTCAAAATTAATTTAAACAGCTTTAAGAATCCAGCAGAAGCCTGGCACTGAGGTGCACACCTATAATCCTAGAACTCATGAGGCAAAGGGAGAAGGACCTTGAGTTCTAAGCTGGTTTGGGCTACATCACCAGACCGTCTAAAAAAAAAGCAAGAAAAGGGAAAAGGAAGAAACAAAAAGGAAGGAAATCCTAATTTTTACTTTTGATGATTAATAGAAAGACCTCTTTTACATTCTATTATTTGCTGGAGAAAATGTTCTAGCCTAATTTTACATTCTCTGAAATTTTTCGTATTGAATGGCATAATTATATTTGTAATTAATAGGTCATTTTAGAACATAATCTGCTTCATATTATATTAAACATTTTGTAGGTATAAATGAATGCACTTATTTCCTTATTTTCACATTCAGTTATGGATATAAATGAGAGAAAATGAAATGAATTAGATAAGGATGACATTAATGAATTGCCTTGGTACCAATGGAAAAACAACTCACCACGTTGTTTCATAGCAGCTACTAACTTTTAAAAAATATTTTATTTATTATTTTATTATCTTCTTATCTTATGACTGTACTGCCTGCATGTAAGTGAACCCATGTTGTGCAATGCCCATAGAGGTCAGAATAGGGCATCAAATTTCCTTGGAATTGAAGTTACAGAGGGTTGTTAGCCACCACGTAGGTGCTGGGACTCAAATCCCGGTTTTCTGCAAGAGTAGCCAGTACTCTTAACCACTGAGCCACTTCTCCAGTACAGTTACTAACATAATACAGAATCAGTGCCTTTCCAGAGCACCCAACAGTTCCAACTACTTATTTTAACTTAATATTTTTTTCATATAGGGTACATTTCTTCACGACAACAAACATATTCAACTGCATTATTTATTGTTCAGAAAATGTGAATGCATTTTCCAAAAATATAAGAAAAATAAAAATGTATAAATAATATATAAGGTCTACTTTTAAATATGCTGAATTTTCTTTATGATACAATCTCATAAAATTATATACCATTGAATTCACATATAGTAAATACAGTTTTAAATTATTAGCAAGCATGGTTGTCAACAATAACCTATCAATTACCTTAATTTGCTCTTCGATTGCTAAAAATCCATGTTTTTCTTCTCTGACATACTGAATTCAACATTTCTGCAAAAAATAAAATAAAAGATTTAATTAGATTGTTATTATAATTATAACGCTATTAAAGTTTTTGTTACTGCTTGACAACTCCACACAGTGCTTATGGTGCCACAGCAGATTGCAAAGAAAACAGAAAAATATCGAAGAGAGGCGAAACTTTTTTTCAATGTATATTTTTAATTCAATTTTTGTGCATTCTATACAATACATCTTAATTATACTATGATTTCTCTATAAAGCATATAAATCTTTTGCCTTTTATATGGGCATTTTTATAATTTGGTGTTCATTGGGAATGTCAGTGAAATTTTTAGGTACAGAATGTAAATATTTTCCTGCTTAAAATATGACATAAGATTTTTAAATAAATTCTAATATCTCCAAGAAAGATCTGGTTTCTAACAACAAGCACTTGTGGTCTTGGGGCATGGACAAAAACTTTCACCATATGAAAAATGCTACGGAAAAGCCATGGACAAACTCCTTAGTGCATCTTGTTATGTAAGCATACACACAAAACACACAGAATGCTCACTTCCTATGTCCTTATGCATATATGTCCTGAGAGAGAGAGAGAGTGATACCATGGTTCGAAAAATCTAAATATAGTGTAAGGAAGAAAATGAGAAGGGCGTACTCAAAGTGAGTGTATTTAAATCATTGATTTGTAGCATTTTGTTTTCATTTTCTTTACATTGTTACGATTCCATTTTTTAAGTATTAAACTAGGAAGCAATATGCTAAATTTGTCTAAAACATCCCTCAAAATATGGTTCTTCAAAGTACTTTATTGTGAATTTAATGTTTTCTTTCAGTTCTGTAACTACATCAATTTTTAAACTTTTGATTGAGTCTATTTAAAAATTTCACACAGTCAATATTTCTAGTAATTATTAGGTACTTAGTCTTTATTAAACAATTACTTTAGAAGATTTTCTATTATTAAAAGGTTAAGCAACTATACAAATTCCAAAATAGTAACAAAACCCATTTTCTATTCTATCATTTTTCCCCAAAAGGTAAGAAATTATATGAAGCAGGAAATCAATAGCACAATATTAAAATTTAATTCTCCTTCATAAAAAATGATATTGATTAAAATCAGATGCAGTATACCACAATATGAAAACAAATTAGTTGAAACTATTCACCAATGAAAATATTAGACTTAATTAGATATTTTAAATTATTAAAATAACAGGATTTACTGTAGTTTTTTCCAATAAGTGTTCACTTGTATTTTTCCCCTTAGAAAAGTTTATACAAGAGCAAGCCAGATGTTTATTTGAATCACATGCTTGACAATTTAGACCAACAATTAAAACAACATTTTATAGTCAGTGGCTTCGAGTCCCCTAAACAATCATCTTTCAACAAATCTAGCATGTTCTTTCAGTAACTAAGGCCTTGACTGTTTACACAGGTCACTTTTCCCCTTGTTTTTGAATAATGGGCCTTTGTCATCTTGAAAAGGTTTTATATATCTGGGCAATCATGGGTAGACAGCACAGGCTTGCTGAGATAATTATCTCCCCTCGGATCTTTTTTTTTTTTGCTAGACATAGGGAATAGATTCTGATATCTAAAGGTGTTTAATCGCAAAGTTCTCTTTGACACCAACAAACCCACCCCACTACAAACAGAACCCATCTTGTCTTTGGTGGTCCCATACCTCACTGTATATTTTTTCTGTTTTGCTGAACTGTATATATAATAAGAATTACTTTAGAATAGGAACTCTGACTTGAATCACTTCTGCAAAGGGATAAGCAACTAAACAGGCCTCACAAACTGCCTGCTTTGGCTTCACGTAAACTAAGATGAAAAAGAAAAGTGAACCACTACATATATCTTTGAGTTTAACTGCATAGCCACCTTTACAAGCTGTTTTCTTTCCCTTTTTCTGCATAAGCAGAGAGAGCCTGCAGTTTACAATTTAACCATTTAATATCTATTTACTATCTCTTTACAACTGCTCACTACATTTAAGAGTGGACAGGCAGCAGAGGCCAAAGACAAGTTTATTATAGCCAGTTAGCATCTTACTGACAAGGGGAGATAGGAGCCAAAGCTCAGGAATGGAAAAAGGGGAACAGAAGGGAGGAGAAGAAAATACAGAGAAGAGCAAACTCAAGTGCACTGTTCTATGAATATGAAGTACTGTGAAAAAAACCTATTGTCTATTTATTAAGATTAATCTAAAACCGAATTTCATAAGCAGCTATTATAAATATTTTGGGCACATGACCTATTTTCATTATCTTAGCTATACATGGTTCAAAAATAACATAAAAGCAGTACCCTAGAAAACATCGCATTTCACCAGAGGACTTGTGGATTAGATGGAAATACTTTAGTTCTCAGAACTATATTTACTTTAATTAAAAGTGAAAATTAAACTATGCTTTTGATTAAACCTTGTAAGTCAATATAAACCAAAAAAACTAACAGTAATGTAAAAATAGCAGACAGCCAATTCATAAAACTGGAATAAATGATAAGTAAGAATGTTCAAGATCAGTTTTCTAGTTCTGAAATAGCAAGTTTAAAAAGAAGGGAAACAATACATTCATCATATATTCACTCTTCCAGGAATTACTCTAGGAAAAATGGTTTCAGAATAAACTTAAGAGGCATAAAGAATACTCACAGATCCTGTACACATTCCAGTTGAGAAGCAGACAGAAAATCACAGAGATACTCAAGGAGAAGACACACCCATATCACATGTACACGTCATATATATATGCATATTTTAAAACTCTATATTAAATTCTTGCCAAATGTCACTGTTGTAATTACTTCATACTGTCATTTAACTGTAAAATAATCCTCTGAAGTTTTTCCAGATATTTTTATATTTACATACAAATGCACTGCTAAATGGAAAACTCAGAATTTAACTGCAGGAAATACAAATTCAGATTCTACAGCTTCAAGCCTCTCAAATAGCAGTGTATTATTACAGACTGTATTTATAACTGAAAATAGGCTTCTTTCAATCATTTGTTCAGAAAATAATTTCATAATTTTGTGACACTGACTGCTAGAAGATAGCTTCACATTTTGATAGATGATATTCTAAGATAACTCAATACAAATTAGCTTAGAATTAAGATGAATAATGTCTGATTTTCTTGATCCAAGTAGCCTAATTCCAAAATTATACAATGTGGCAATGACTTTTCTGGGAAACGCAAATTGAAGTTTTGCAAATTAATCATATGCTTTGAGATCATTTAGAACTACTCATTGACTCTGTTTTCCTACTGTGTACTCAGCTTGTTAAATTTAACTAGCCTTTAAGAAAAACAATGTAATCAATCTTACTGTGCTTTGGACTCCTAGTGTAATTAACTCTTACAGGCTCTGAACCCATAGGTTTAGTCTTATACTACCTTCCCTATTGCTCCCTCACAACCCTTCTAATCCCCGACTCAGAATAATGTGCATAAGATGTAGTCATTAAACTTATGACCATCTGATGAAAAGAGTGATATTGTTTAAGACAACATGATCCCCACAAAAACTTGGAAGTGACATGTGATCATAGGTTGATGACATCTTTTGTGGTTTTGTATGCCGTTCTGGGGCAGTAGGGTAAGAAAAAATAAATTCTGCCTTAAAATTCCTGGTTAAAGATTGTTTTTTACAAACTTATTATTTTTTTACTATTTTATGTGTATGAGTGTATTGCCTGCACGTATATAAGTGCACCTGTGTCATGCAATGCCCACAGAGCTCAAAAGATGGCATTGGATCCCCTCAAACTGGAGTTACAGACTGTTGTTAGCCACCATGTCAGTGCTGGGAACTGAACCCAGGACTTCTGCAAAAGCAGTCAGTGCTCTTAACCGCTGAGCCATCTCTCCACACCTTGGTTTTAGATTCTTTAAGACCAAGTTTCTCATTCCTTTTTCATACCATGTTTCATAAGCTATTCAATAAGTAGTACAGTACTCTCCCTTTGTTCAAGAGGACAGTTCAAAGAAAACAGTTCAGACTGTGCACTCTTAAACTATTCCAAACGTCACAGTTTTCAAAGCGACACTACCTCAATACAACATCATTTATTGAGTTACTCCATAAAGGTCCATGAGGCTATGAAGTGGCAAAACCAAGGGAACCAGATCATTCTGCAAACAGTTAAGAGACAGTTTTACAGCCCAAGATGCTGCAGATTAAAACCTAGGAACTCCAGGAGCCAAGGATGTGCTGTGCTACACACTGTCAAGCCAGACACTCATATTTAAAATGGTTGCTGATAACTGAAGTAAAAACAGGACATGGTAGAAAAAAATCGAATAAGGTGATTCTTTTTCATTCTCTATGAGTTAGTCCTTCATCAATTTTGGAATTACAGGGTTAGAATTACGTGTAATTTTATTAAGTGTTTTAAAAAGGAGTACACAGCTTTCATACGGCTTGGAAGATAAATAAGGAAACGTGAGACAATGATGGACAAATAAAAATAGCGACTATATCTGTTGTATTCCATTTTCTTTAACTTATAACTCAAATGTTCTATCTGTTTATAATCATAATGTTCATGTCATTTCCCAAAACTTCTTTCTTTAGTTGTCAATCTACTAATCTGTAGTTATCTTCAAATATCTGCTACTTGAATGTCTTCTGATAAACACCAGCGTACACTAGCATATTATTTTCACCACAATGTTCAGATTTGTTTTTTCTCTTCAATTCTTAATAGCATGAGAGATCAGCAACTCACTAAGATGAACAAATTCACCCAATGATAGTGTTAAAACACGACTCCGAGATGACTTATCCCCAATTCAAACACCTGCCACTACATCATGTCACCACTGGCCTCCACACCCCAGCTATTCCTCAAGATTTCTAGAGCTTCCTTTTAGCCCATCTAAAATCTTTCTTGAAAATAGTTACTAAAATAATTTAAACCCTCATTTTTCTCAAGAAGATTTCTTCTCAGTAAGGAATATAGGTTTCAAGACCCCCAAAAGGACGAATTCACTTTTTTTCTT